ATGTGCCATCAAATTGATTCTGATTCATAGAGTACTGCTGTCTTCTTCTGGGAGGCACCCTGGGCTGTGCAGCTTGTCCATAGCAGTTAGGGAACAGTTTCTCATCTCCAGTTCAACCTAACTTACCAAATGAGCAATGGGGGAAAAGGAGTGTTTGTGTGTATCGCCAGCTTCAGATTCCATACAGAAAACTACTGAGATTCCTATGAAGATCTGAACCCCATGATGGCCTTTAGTGAACGATGGATCTTTCTTTTCTGGCAGGTTGTAGATGAAAAAGGCAACTTTTTTGGACTACAACTTCCAGAGTATTCCAAGCAAACTCTGTCTGGTAATCACTTCTGAGAAGTTTAGATAAATGTGTGATGACTCCACATGATAATCATGGACAAAGAAAGGGATCTCTGCATCCCAAAATAAGCATTGAATCATCTCAGATCACATGCACTTACATTAAGCGAAGAATCCTCTGAGAGGAGACAACATTGTCTGGCCCAGAAGTCATTTGTACGTGCAGTGCATTGTCAATCATGATGAAACCAATGGCAGGCATCTCTAGATCTTGAACCTTGTCAGCTCCCTTTCTCAGGTCTGCCTGGCAACAGACCTTTTAGACCGGAACTGTACACTGTTGTCAGCAGGATTCTCTCTCTCTCTCTCTGTCTCATTCTGGAAAAAGCATCTTGTGCATTGTCCATTCTGTAATACATGACAGATAACATTTCCCCATGCATGGGAGTAACATGATTTGGCCAACTGATTTCCTGGGCAATATTGCTGCTTGAAAACCACAATGAAATCTCTTTCATTCGTTTTTCATGGAGCAAAGCCTTCTTATCTCAATGGGTCAGAAGCCAAAAAGATTATGTTTGGGAGCTCTGAATTCTCCCTGCTAAGCAAAGATCATAGGGAAGAAGAGAAGAGGGGCTTGGGTTACCTTTAAATGCCGAAGCATCCCTCAGATGGCCTGGGGCCACCAGTCTGTTTTTGATGCTATTTGGTGCCTTTAGAGCAGCAATTTTGCCCATAAAGACAACTGGCAAAATCACATTACCGCCACGGACAGGGAAATATTATCTGTTATGCATTACAGTACTTTTTGTTCCTTGTGTGGCATGATGAGCACTGGATGAGTGTTCCAAAGAGTTAAGAGACCAGGAAAAGGAGGAAGAGTAACCTTTGATCTTCTAGCCCTCTGAAGTACTGTATATGGGAAGAGATTCTGGCTGCATACAGTCTAAGTTTGCTCTAACCACTAGGGTGGGAGAGGGGGGAGAAGGAGGAGCAGGATCTGAGCAAGGATAAGCAAGGGAGAGAAAGATACCCATTTATGGCGGTTCTTACTTCCTGGGCATAGCAGAGCCTCAAATTAAAACGAACCTGGCAGCAGCACTTGCTAGCGATCAACTCTGAACGGGAAAGAGGAACCTGTTGGGCAGATGGAATGTGCAAACTTTAATAGAGGATGATGTGGTGGAGATGTGGTGGAGCTAACCAGCAGCTGCTGGGAAGGCCAGGCTTCTGCTGGGATCCAACAGGGATGACACACCGAGAGCGATTCAACGCCTTTGGAGAACGACCCTGGCCCCCCCCCCCCCCCCGCCCTTGGTTTCTGGACTGCTGCCCCGGAGGAAGCCCTTTGGGGACTGTACTGCCCCCCTCCTCGTGGACCTCTGCTCCTCCTCGCTCTAACCGTAGGTAGGCATACCTCAAGTGCTAGCCAAGCGACAGAGAAGAGTGGGGTGGGATCCTAGGCAGGAATACTCGGACGTTCAACAGGGCACCCTACCAGGTGCCTTGCCCTCCCGCCTATGAAGGGCAAGGCAGGGTTTCAATGTGGTCCCAGCTGAAGGCGTTTCCTCGATGGTGGGCTGTGAATTTGAGATTCCCGATCGCTTTCTTTCTACGGCTCGCGTAGAACTGATTCAATCAGCCAATGTGTTTCCCCTGTGGGCATGCCCTCCCGCTCGCACTGCTCCCCGACTCGAGCCGGGCAGGGGGCGGCCAGAGTGAGGCAGTGAAGCAACGATACTAGGGAGCTTTGACCCACTCCATCTTCACCCCTCCCCAGCCCAGAGGTTTGGTAGCAACCGGCGCCGGGATCCACCGCCAGCTTAAGCCGAAGCACGGCCAGCTGAAAGAACGGAGTCCCCGCGAAAGAACAAGCGCGCAAACCAGCTGAAACCTAGTGGGTGCCCTTCCTTCTTTAAGCGCGTCTGGAGTCATTTCGCAAAACCCTTTTTTTTTGACGGAAGCAGAAGGGGAGATCTCGCCTGGGAGTCTTCAGAAAAACCCTCTCCGCACGCCCTCTCAACAGCTGGCTTCCCCCGGCACTTCACCTGCCTAAAGACCTATCGGGCGCCTTCCAGATGGGTCGGACTGCGGCTCCCATCACCCCCAGTCAACGCAGAACAACGCCGAGCCCAGTGCAACGTTTACAGCGCAGATCGCCCGTCCCTGCTTTCTTACCTGGAGCGCCTTCGCAGCGGAGGATGGCCAGCAGCGGGGCAAAGTTTGTTTGCGGATCTCGAAAGGAGCCGGGCGAGGCGAGCCTGGAGGCGTCAGGCGGGCTCCCTTTTCCCTGGCTTCCAGGCGCCGGGTGCTGAACCGAGGAAGGCGCTCAGCTGCCTCCGGTGGCGCTGTCCATGGTACCTCAGCGCCTCCCCATGCGCTGCGCCGTGCCTTCTGGACCCAGGCACACGCGCTGGCGC